AAAATGATATGTGACCCTTTTAAATGCTTCATTTGTATAACCAGTTTATTAGTTGCAAGTGCTTAAGTCACAAAGGCCCATCACATGGACAAGGTGTTCCCAGTACCCTGGCTGTAGAGACTCAACAAGATGGTTAACGGTTTCTGTTGACGCCACCGATATCTAAATTTAGGTATAAGAACTGCCTCGATGTGTTGGGAAGAAAAGGAGGTTCTTGACAGTCTACTGACCACGTAGCTGTTGTGACCCTTTTTCCCTTGCAAGGAAATAAACGGAGAAAAGACATACTTGACTCAGAGCCTTTGATTCTTACTTAACGATTGTCTGTGCAAAATCTTCTAAAAAAATTGTCCAAAAAAATGGACGCGGCGAGCCGTAGTCCAGGGCGGTCCAAAAGGTCTCAGGTCGATTCTTCCTCTGTCAGTGTCCAGGTCTTTTTGAGGATTCCTCTCGTAGGACACCACAGGTCCAGATACCAGCGATCTGCTGTTTTGTTTGTCCCTCCGTCTCTCACTCCTCTTTCCTATGACACGCAGCCTGTGAGGTGTGACCAATCTGCTCGCCTTCGTTGCCCCGCCTTCTTTATATTGGCCAGGTGGGACAAAACAAGTCTGCAGACTTTGGTCTGCTACAATACCGCCACCTAGTTGATGCTTCTGCGTTTTCAGATAGAGATATTAAAATAAATTTAATTAAATAAACTAAAACTGAAACAAAAGAATAACCTTCCAAAAGAGACAATAATAATAATTTGTAAAAGGAGAAGAGCAGGGGGCGGCACGGTGGCGTGGTGGTTAGCACTGTTGCCTCACAGCAAGAAGGTCCTGGGTTCGATTCCGCCCAGTGGCCTTTCTGTGTGGAGTCTGCATGTTCTCCCGTGTCTGCGTGGGTTCTCTCCGGGTTCTCCGGCTTCCTCCCACAGTCCAAAGACATGCTATAGGGATCAGGTTAATTGGGGACTCTAAATTGCCCGTAGATGTGTGAATGGTTGTGTGTCTCTGTGTAGCCCTGCGATTGGCTGGCGACGTCTGGACCCCGTCTATCGCCCGAAGTTGGCTGGGATGGACTCCAGCCCCCCCGCGACCCTGTGTGCAGGATCGTTATTTAGCCAGAGATGATTTATTGTAGAGTGTTATTGCACTGGGCAGGAATGATCTCCTGTATCGGTCCTTGTGACAGCGGAGCTGAAGGAGTCTGTTGGAGAACGTGCTCCGCTGTCCCTGTAGCAGGTGGTGGAGGGGGTGGTCAGGATTATCTAATATGGATAACACAGTGACCTCCCCTCCACCACCTTTTCCAAGCTGTCCTGATTGCAATATGGAGCGATGATTCCTGATGGAGTCCTGATGGATGTCCTTGGCTGTAGCTGTAGCCACGTGGTCTGTGGGGTCAGAGAAGCAACGATGGAGCCACACAGTTCAGGTACGACTGGATTACTAATCAGGGGCCCACCGAGATGTTTGGGAGCTCGTTGCCAATGACGCGATTGTTGGAGGAAAGTCATCCATTGTTTCAGATCAATAATGTAAAACTTTTAACTATATTAAGAATTATATTAATAATATAATATTATGATCCAATGGAAATATAACATGTTTTTCATATATTTTTGATTGTTTCTATTAATTGAACTTTTATGATAAGGTCATGTAATCTACTATTCACATTCCCAGTTACCTTGATCCCACTTTACATGGATTCAGACGCATGTCCGGTTTCCTCAAATTATAATATAATCACAGAACTGTTTGTGGAAGAAATCAAGAAGAATCCCGTCGATCCGACAACAGAACAAACCACAAGGACATTAAATGCTTTATGACTTTTCATGGTTTATTAAATCATACCATACTATGGAGTTTTTAAATATTCATGATATGTCAAAATAGGCAATATATTGTAATACACGTGTATATAATACTTTTTGGGAATACTTTAATAGAAAAGCTATGACATACAATACTACTTCTTTTTAAAAACGACACAGTGTTTTGTTTTTTACTTTCATAAACATACATTGACTATACTTTACATTTTGATGACTTCCTCCTCATTCGTCCTCCTTAACTTCTCTGAACAGACTGCAACAAACCTCAAGTGTGGCAACCAGCTCCGCTTTGCATTCATTATTAAGTATTGAACTTGTTTAAATGTTGCTTCTAGCTGCAGTTTATTGCACATATTAAGACTAACCTTTAGGTAGTTGGTCCTCTCGTGCAGGACTGTAGACCGAACACAATTTAGGAAAGAAATCCACCATTAAAATATTGCATGAAATGTTTTTTTAAAAATCGTGTACAAGTAAAATTCATGCCTGACCATTTTTGTTGTTGACAATGTCGTGGTGTTGTGTGTTGTGTGCACCACAACATCAGCCGACAACAAGAGTTAGTTTGTGACTCGATCAGATGTTTTACTGCATCTATTTATTTGTTAAGAAGTGGCTTAAGAAGCATTTACACAGAGAAAAAAAGATCAGTTTCCACTGATCAGCAGGGAATTTTAGACCATAAGTCAGTTAATCCATCTTCAAATAGAGCAAGAGGATGAAACTTGGATCATACATTTACATTATAAGTTGTTGATACAAATGTGTATGTAAACATTTACTCTTTACTCCCTGTTATCCACGTCTTTCATTCATGTCAGTTACTTGTTTTGTTTCTTTATATTGTATGTTAATATTTTATTTATGTTCAAACATGTTTCTGCCATTAGACGCTGCTCATCAGAATCATTTAATGTGCAGGATGATTTCTGAGAAAAGTTGCTTTTGCAGGTTCCTCTTTCTTTGACACATTTTCTATTTTCAGAGGGAACATTTTAAAAGAAAGGAAGTGTTTGTCTTTGCGAGTGCAGTGATCACAAGATACGTTAAAGGTGTTAAACTGAAGCAAAACCGCAACTAACACACACAGTAAAAACAGCATTTTATATTCATGTATCTTATTGACATAATAATGTTTGGTCCTTTTTATTCTCTGAAATGTTGGTTTTGTTCCAGGGAGCAGAGATGAAAAGCTTCCTCTACGACACACTCACATGATATGAATAAGGCCTTTAAAGTGGAGCAGGTGAGGTACTTTGTGGCGTGGTGCTCGTCCTCTGGCTCACGTCCACTTGCTGTGTCCACAGTCTGTAGATTTAACGTCATGTCCAGGAAACGGGGTTAGTCAAGTTGTCTCGTGTCTCGTGATTTCCTGTTTTATTTTGAAAACGAACCTCCCTCTCGTTTCAGGCAACTTGCCTCTTCCCCCCGTGTGCTGGTCTGATTGTCTGCCCGCCCCTGATTGGTTCCACCTGTGCCTTTTAACCTGTGTGTATTTGTTGTCTGCGTCTCCCTTTGTCCTGTGCTAGTTCGTCGTGATGGGAAGTCCGGATCTTTTTACCGACTCGGTTCTTTGAATCTCGTTCATTATGAAAGAGAAATGAACAAATCTTTTTTTGAGAGGACTCGTTCAAAATGAACGAATCGTTCACGAACGACACATCACTCCTAGTTCGTCTTGTCTCAAGGAACCAGTGTATGTGAGCATCTGTAGCTTTACCACATTTGGGTTCTTATGTTTAGTACATAGTGTTTTCCTCGACCACAAGTGATTTTTATTTCAGTGGCACTTGGCCTTTTGTTAACGAACTTTGATTTCTTTTGGAAGCACTTTGCTCCCAAGTCTTAATCAGCAGGAGGATCCGGTGTCCGCCTACTTTGTTCCTCTGATGAACGTTGAGGTGTAAATGAGCCTCCTTGACAAAGGGCTGAACTAAATCTCTCTTTACAGGAACAGATCTCAAGCCGTCAGAGAGGAAGTTCAAAAGGAGCCTGATGACGAGCAGCTGTGTGCAAACGTCTCCGAGCTTCTTTGAATCAGAGGCCAGCTGTTAGTTTATTGTGAAGCAGAACACCGGTTGTTGCAGCGTGGGGTCGGAGACTCCGTCATGTCTCTCTTTGTGATACTCGGGCTGCTCGTCTGCATTCAGGCTCAAGGTGAGAAACCAACTAAGCACTCAGGTCTTTATTCTATGTGTTGTATATCAGGGGTCCTCAACGTTTTTCTGGCCACGGACCCCCAAACTGATGGCGAGATGGAGCAGGGACCCCCATTCTATGGAGTTTGGTCCGTCATCTTTTATTTTGGAGCTTTGCACTCTTTAGCCGTGAGCATAAACGCGATGTGATCCTGTGAACGAACCAGTGAGCAGCTTGAGAAGCTGAATGTGTGTGTTGTGGACTGAAAGATAACGTCTTAATTTGTATTTAAAGACCATGAATAACATTCTGATTCTGAAGACATTTAAATTTGTGGGAAAAAATAGTTTAAAAAAAAACATTTGGCGGCCCCTTGTTGAAGACCTGTTATAGATTATCGGTCATCATAATACGAGTAGATGAAATCCAGGCTTCTGATTGGTTGAGAGCGGGTCACATGTTATACAGCTGACCCGAGCGTTCAGTATCACTGCGCACTCAAAGTAACACGTTAGATTTTGCGCTACAGTTAGTTTTTAGCTTTTATCTCGGTGGTGATCGCCGAAAAAAAACGGAAATCCCACAAATGATCAGTTTCAGGCAACCGGACAGTTACGGTGAACTCATGAGCGATGTGAACGAATGAGATGATGCGGGACCCGATGCTGTTTACACGCACGTACGGGGACTATTTTCTCTCTAGAATACTGAGATGAGACCAAGGTTATTATCGTTAACGAAAACTGACGAAAAAACGAAAACGAGGTGTGTTTTTTTTTTTTTTTCGTTAACTGAAATAAAAATAAAAACGAGCCTTTATAAAAAAAAAAACGATGACTAACTGAAACTGTATTGTGTCTTTGCACAACTAACTAAAATAGAATTATAGAGAAAATGTCTTTAGTTTTCGTCTTTGTCAATGCTAGGACAGCGGTTCCCCGCAAAAGTCCGTCTCGCGAGGTATTTGCTCGCTTGCGAAAGACGTGAACTTCTCGAAGGAGTTTTCTTATTGTTTTATTAATCTGTCCGTTTAAATTGTTTGTGCTTCATCAACTAATGTTTCACATAACTAATGTGCCGCATCATACATATTTTTATATTAATTTCAAACTTTTGAAGATTAAAAAACGTATTTATTGTAAATGACCTCTCGCGGCCCACACTTTGGGAATCTCTGCTCTAGAGTTTTTATTGGGTTTTAGATTTGTTTGTTTTTCAGATTGAGCTCCCTGAGACTCCCGGCTCCCAAGCAATGTCATGTGTGGCTCATTAATGGGTTTAGTACATGCTGTTCACGTGTCTTTAGTCTATTGGCTGTTGCATCTGGTGTAGACTGTTAACATATTTGTACCCATATCTACATTTTATGTTCTGTTGATATTTTTGTGTCCAGTGGAATTTTTCTGGTTAATGACACAAGCGCACTGACTGACACATATTTCATAGTTGTCTTTTGGGGATGGCTGTTCATCTGTCCTAAATACATTTTTTAAAATGGTATGTTGAATTTGTATTACTTGTTATAGCTTGTATCTACAATTCATTTTGAGCATTTTGTTTTGCAAGCAAAAAATGAAGCTTCCCTGAATTTACTAAACTGCAATTGAAAACAAAAAGTCAAAACTAAATGAATAAAAACTAGTGAGAAATTCAAAACTATAATAAACTTGGACGAGACTCACAACGTTTGGTGGCTACAACGATTTTGTGCTAAAAGGCAGCTATTTACTTTGATTTATTTTATACTATTTTATAATTTGTAACAGTTCGAGGGTTTAATACATAATAATAATAACCTGAAAACTACAAAGTAAAAACTTCTGCTCGAATTCTTTTTGCAAACATTTCATTTCTTTTCAGTATTAAGAATTAAAGACAAAGCCTCAATACAACAATGTAAGAGATTTAGCAAGAGAAAATAACTAAATGTACCAAAATATTTTTAGTATGCTAAAATAAATGTTAGTCTTTACAATACAAACATTAAACTTATCTGAATGACTTATTTATTCTTATATAAACACATAAACAGAAAAGGAGAAATGCATCCAAGCGAGTGAACAATCAGACAAACTTTCCAAATACATTCATGACTTGTCTGACTAAAGTTTGGGGAACAACAGTTTGCGTGAGAGGAGTGAAGGACAAGGTGAGAACTTAAAAGCAATTGTTCCACCTCCTTAGTCAGTCCTCTGTCCTCAGTGAGACATTTAAAGAGACGTCTTGCAACCATTGAGAAGTGATGATGAGCTGAAGGTGAACCGCTGGTTCAATGTGTAATAAAGTGTAGTGATGGAGGAACATTCAGCAGTGAATGATTCATCACATATTGTGTGTGATGTTTATTGTATCATGTGTCTACTGTTTTTACAGGAACCATTGTGACTCCTGTGTTTGTGCTGAAGGGACGTGATCTGCTCCTCAAGCTTCATGCTGATCCTCCTGAGGGGGTTTTATATGTTGACTGGAAAATCAATGAAAACGTCACTTTAGTAACAATTGATCATAGTGGACAATCAGAAGTCTATGACCGTTTCACTGAAAGGCTTGAGTTTGAAAAATTCTCTGAGATTGAAGAATGTACAAGAGGTCGACAGTGGAGTTTATTCTGCTGAAGCAGAAACAGATACAGGAGACAAACTAGTAGCTAAGTACAAGGTCACAGTTCAAGGTGAGTCTGTAAACATTTCACTGATAGTTTCTGCCGCCATGTTTCATAAACTCTTCACAGAAACCTCCCCCCCCCCCCTCAGGGCCAGTGTCTCCAGTTGAACTGATCGTGGACGGAGTGGACAACAGCTCAGAGTCATGTGACCTCCATGTGACCTGCAGCACTCACAACTCTCACATCAGCAGCACTTTCAGATGTGTCGACCGGGTCTGCAGTCAGGAGGAAGGAGAGGTCACGACCTCTGGGGCTTCTCTCCAGGTCTACCTGTTGAACAACGTGATCATCTGTAACCATAGCAACCAGGTTCACAGGACCCACAAATTCAATACGACTGAACATTTTTGCACCGAACATGCTGGTAAGACTGAGAGGAGACGACTTCCTGATAACAGGTTGTAGTTTCAGCCTTTCTGTGTTGTAAAGAAACGATTGTGTGTTTTCTGAGTGAATTCTGAGTTCTTTGCGTCTCTAAAGCTCCTCGTCAGGGACGCAGGGGTTAAATACAAACTCAAGCAGAAAGCACAGACGTGTTGTGTTTGTGATGAATCCACCTGTGGTGTGTTTCATGTTCCGTGTTCCTGGTGAAGATGGTGGTGTTCTCTGTGGGTCTGATCATCATGGTGTCTGCCGTCATCACTGTTCACCTCGTGGACTTCAAGAAGCACCAACAAAGAAATGGATGTCAAACCCGTCACGCTGCCCGGGAGGAAAGCTCCCACTTAAAGGTCACCTTCTAAACCCGTGATGATGTTCCACTGACTCACAGCTGGTGGCAGCAACACACCAGGAGAAGAAAAGAGGAAGACGAGCGCAGAGCAGTGTGGTGGAAATTGTGGATTTAGGCCTTGTGAGAAATCAAAAGTATCAGAGACTCGCTTATGATTAAGTATTTTACTAATTGGGATATAGGAAAAATCATAAGTATACAAGAATCATCAACACAAGCCGTAAGTACAGACAGAAGTCAAATGACTACAATTCAGCTGAAAAGGGACAGAGTGTTCCTTCCCCCAAAAGGAGCAGGAAGATCTGACAAAGTTTCTGGGGGGAACCAGGAGCTTTTATACATCTCTGAAGGTCCGAGGAATGGTAACCAGATGTTGTTTCGGGAACCTCCGCGACACTCCCTTAGTGGGACCAAATCAATCATTTTGACATTTTGAGAGGAAAACACAGGAGAAAGGTAAATAGAAGAACATGATATGGTCTGTCCAGGCCACATATGGATTTCATCGTAGACTAGGTCAGGTCACGAGTTTCCCAAGAAGGGTCACATACGAGTTCTTGAGACTCTCGCAATATGCACCTCAACAAATTCTCCCCCGACAAGCAGCAAACATGGACGCAAACTATTTAGGATTTAAAGGATTTATAAATTCAGCTTTGCAGATATTTCCTGGTGAAGGAAAGACATTAAAAACGTGGACTCAAAGAAAAAAACTTCATGTAAACATTGTTTCTTCACAAGAAAAACATATTTACCTTTAAAACAAATGCCGATAATCCATTGATTATACACAATACTGTATATCACACACACAAGACCATGTAAATATGTTTTCGGTGGATATTATCTTGACTGTATAATCAAGACCAACTATATATGAGCAAAAAACCTTAAATACTCTGTATAATACTGCATACAGTCCTATTGACCAATAAATACATTGCATATCTGTCTGCATGTACAGTATTTACTCGTACATAATTCTGTTCAGCAGGTTTTGTTTTGAGTGGAAACTTGGAACTTGTTGAAGCTTCATACTGATCTTGTGTTTCAGTGATTAAAAGGTCACGTGTTCCTCTCTGGTTTACTGTGAGTTTTTACCAAAGAATCAATATGTGATGTTATTATAGTAAAGACACTTGATACACTGAATGATGACAAAATATGTTATGGAAAAATATATTTTTTAAATTCTCTGCTGTTTCACATATTCGTCTCTATGAAATCCTTTCTCCACCCAAAAAAAAATAGAAGGGTTAGAAAGTCGAAATGACATAAAAGTTTAAATTATAAAAACAAATGTCTCGTAATTTTCTGTTTTATATACTTGTCACAGTTAAAACATTTGATTCATGTTTTGTTTTTTAAAATAATAAAAATATAAAACAGAAGCATTTCTTGCTTTTTCTACATTGATCTTAAATGTAAAATATGTAATTACTAACATCTCCAATCGTGACACGTTTGTGTGGAGGAGAATCTTTCAGCATTAAAGCAGATCACATGAACTAAAACACAGAAAGCTTCAATAACACTGCAAACTACCAGCAGAATTACAGGATTTTATTATTTACTTTTATTTACAACACCTAAATATACCTTAACAACAAAACACCGGTAAAACAATGGTGAAACACTAGTAGGACACTTTTGAGACACTCGTAAAACATCGTCATCTCTGTGTGACTTTCTGCTGCGTCACTTCCCCCCTCATCAGACTCTCAGTCCCGCCAATGATTTATTGATTGACAGAATATCTAGAAAGCGGCATGTCTCAGATTTCAGAATCGGATGCAAATAGTTAAGGCGTCACGGTAATTTGAATCCTCCACGTCACTTTCCGTCGCCGGCGAAAGGCTTCGGATTAAGAGGGTTAAAAGACAGACAGTCCGTCTGTCCAATCAGAAGGGTCCGTCCTCTGCTATCTGCTATAAGGCCCTCCCCTTTCCGTGAGGAGTTAATGACGTTGTGTTTTCCTATTTGCTGTTGTGTTTTTCCCTCCAGGGCCACCGTACATTTCCACCTATCACAGCTCCCCACGTGCCTTCCAGCCTTCACAGCAACGCAACTTGCGAACGGGTCCGAAGTCAGCAAACAATGGCGTCTGGTAGTGACGACGCTCCGCTTCTACTGTAGGTGAAATACGTTTAAAGTGTCATGGCGTGCATGATTAACGTTAAATAAAGCTTCAGGAGATGTAACAATGCACCGTTGAAAGTAGAAGAGGAAGAGGTCTGCTATTAGCACACAGAATGAGGAACAAATGGCAGGAAGGTCAAAAGGGTCATTCTCGCAAGCAGCTGACAAAACCCCTCAAATGGAAACATTCTGAACTTCTGTTTAATCATTTCTTAGAAAACGACGCCAGGTTTTCTAACTAAAAATGTAAATGTTGCAGTAGGTGGAAGGAAGCAGCCTTACCACTCGTCCTTTCTACCATTTGCTCTAAAGCCTAGTTTATGCTTCAAGCCCCCCTTGCCTCCTTGCTGCCTTTTCACACCTCCTTGCTGCCTTTTCACACCTCCTTGCGCGTGTCGACGCATTTTTCCAGACTAGCGTCGAAAGCGACGCAAGCCTCCCTCAGCGCACAAGGCTGTGATCGGTCTGCTAACTACGTCCTTTACGGAGTCTCACGTTTCCGTTTTCATAGCACAACACCGTGAAATATTGTCCCAATGTCCTCTGGACGTCTTTCCTTCCTGCCGTTCTCGGTTCTCCTCGAGTCTCGTCTTTGCTCTTTCTTCAAATCATCCTCTCCTCTCCTCTCCTCCCTTATCTTCTCCTCTTCTTTCCTTTCCTTAGTCCATCCTCTCTCCTGTCCTCTCCTCCTCTCTCCTCAGTCCATCACCTTTCCTGAGTCCTCCATCACATCTTCTCCTCTCCTCATGTCTTCTCCTCAGCCATGCAGTCACTTTTCCTCCTCTACTTCTTCTCTCCTCTCCTGTTTTGCCTCCTATCTCCTACCACCTCCCTTCCTCTCCTCTCCATCTCTCTCTCCCTCTTCTGTGTCCTCCTTTCAAAATGTATCCTCTCCTCCCCTCCTACATCCTCTACAGTCTATTTCCTCTTTCCTCACCTCTCTCACCCTTTGTCACCTTTTTTCTCCCCCATTCCAGCAGTTCTCGTGTCCCTTTCTTCTGTCTTATTGGGTTGCATTTGATTCTTTTGTTCCCTCATTTCCTTCTTGACGTCTCCTCACCGCTCCGCTCTCCTCCTCTCATGATCAGGAATCAGGAAACATTTATTAGTCCAAATATGTCAATCATACACGGCATTTGTCTTGCCGGTTAGTGCGCGACAGTAGACAGAC